TATAACTCACGGAGTCCCACAGCCACCTGTGCTGGCTGAGGAACTCTGGGAGTTGAAGTCCACAGGTCTTAAAGTTGCCAAGGTTGGAGACCACTGCCTTAAATAACCCAATTCCATGCCATAAACCAGCCCTTTGAAATGTTTGTGGAAGCAAATTGCAGCTCATGAAACAGAGGTGTAACATATACTCTTAAGGACATTTTACACCAGATGAAGCTTTTGGATATTATCCGTAATATAATTCAGCTATTAGGTGGTCTGGAAATAAAGTTATTTAACCCAGAGTTGCTTAGATGTTGGGAGACATACATTGAAATTATCTCTGTACTTGGTCAGTCAGATGTTTAGACTGGATTTTGCATTTTTATTCATTTATCGAGTCCTTCCTGAGGACCTGAGCAAATGTTATTATATATACAGTATACAAAAATGTAAAATCACGGCTCTTTAGCTAGTGTTGGCCTTCATACTCAAGAGTTCCTCCTAAAAGAATTGGATGTTGTATTGGTATAGTATATGTGATAATCCAACCAGTGTGGCCTTTTGTAATTGACAGATGGAAATGTTGTCAATACACACATTTTGTAAGTGTTATCCCCCCAAAAATTCATATTGTATCCAATGTGTCAATATTCACTGAGTCTACCTGTTCTGACCCCCCTCTGTACCGTGAGGCACGCTGACACAAGATTACTGCTAGACAATGTATTCACAGTAAATTAACACACTGATAAGACTTTGGCAGCGAATGCTGGCTGGGGAATTCTGGGAGTTGAAATCCAGACATCTTCAAGTTGACAAGGTTGAGAAACACTGCTTAACATGTTGTCTCCACTCTTATTGATCCTGTTAGTGATGTTATACAAATTGGATCTGTGTGTACTGTAGTTGGAAGTCTCCGATAGATCATAGACTTTCAATGCATAGCTTATTGAAGCAGATTCCTTGGGACTACATTCCATGTATCTCCAATAATTTTTGAAGATTATTTTGCTCTTTTATATCCTATCCTATCCTATCATAATTTCATATCTACGTGTACATCTTTAATTCAAAGAAACTAAAAATCCAGGGTTGATATTGTGGGACGGGATACACAAAGCATATAGAAGAAGTACAAAAACATGCACACTGAATTAACTTGCTTTAAGAGTAGATTCTGGGCTTAATTAAGAAGTTGAGCTGGAGAGATGAATCAGAACTTCCTGTGTTTCCTTCCCATTAGCTTACAATGTCTAAAAAAATCAATGGAGGCTCTGTGGTTGAGATGCAAGGGGATGAAATGACCCGTGTGATATGGGAGCTGATTAAGGAGAAGCTGATCCTTCCCTACCTGGATCTGGATCTTCACAGGTATATCTTCTATACTGAGGGGGAAATGTAGCTTATATGTGTATGTGTGTAATATGTGTATTTTTGTTAAGTGTTAGTTCTGGTACTTGATTTGATTTGGTTTGATTTAATAAATTTATAGGCCGCCCAATCCCGAAGAACTCCGGGCGGCTTACAGAAAATAAATTTTAAAAAGTGAAGAGTTAAAAACAATGGAGGAAAACAGATTAAAAGAAAGCACATCATGCCCCCCTTCTAATCGAGGTTGGACCTCGGTCAAGAGGTCAACAACAATTTAGACAAAGCTGCAAACAAAAAGGGTGGAGTAATATGAAAAAAAAATTGGAGTAATATGCCCTCAAATATATATAAATTTTATGGCTAACTTAGTTTTTTAAATGCTCAAATTGACATGGAAAGAGTAGCAGGGGTGGGTTCCTACCAGTCCTTGACGGTCTTGCAGACCGGTTGGTCAGTGAACCCGGAAGTAATTAACTTCTGGGAACGCCGGCAATGTTCCCTCTAAGGTGCACGGCTACGCTGCTCATTACCATCAGTCACTCCATTTTCAGCAAAGCAAGTGTGGGAAAATCCTTTGCAGGCGACTAGAACTGGCCACCCGCAAAGGATCTTCCCAGACTTGCTTTGTTGAGCACTGGACGACTG